CAAAAATAAAAAAACTTTTTTAGATTTTTATTTTTCTACTTCATTTGAACGTGGTGGCTATTCTTTCCATTCTGTGAAAATTTCATGATAAATGAACAGAAATGCTCCAAAATCGCTTGGAATGAAGCCTGTTTACATTAACTCACATTAAAAGTCCTGTTATCACTTTATTACATCATTTAGACATCATGCAACATACAACTATAACAGAAGCCAACTTTGATGTCAGTTCTACATGTTTAGCCCTCCATGTGATACCATTTTCAACATGTCCTCACCCACTTCTGCTTGTCGTTTAGCGCTTTTCCAATACTGCATTAGTATAGGTGAAGTTTGTAAGATGACTCCTTGGCTCACTAAGGCTATAGTGGCACTCGGCACTCCACAGCCGTCCTATCTATCCTAACATGTAACATTTAGCATACTAAGGCTATCCTAGCTATCCTAGCTAGTGGCACATAGCTCACTAAGGCTATCATAGCCGTCCTAGTTTGTGGGACTTAACGTAAGAGTGCTGTATTCCGTATAGTTCTTCGCCACTTTTCGCGTTTCAGTAGTTATTGCAGAAAAACCCGTCATACAGGTCATGTCATACAGGATGTAATGATTGGTTGGACTCTGCAAAATCTGCCTAGCAACCAAGATGCATTTTGATTGGTCACATTTGGGCCAATGCTTTTAAAGAGAAAAAAAAAATACGTCATCTGTGTCGGTTTGTGCCTTCAGTACTTCGTACACGAGCTTCCACAGAAGGAGCGGTTTTCCGTACAGTGTTTTCCCTGCATTTTATTTGAAGTTTTATGAAATCTAATTGCATAAAAATAGACATTTACTGATTATAAAAGTGAATTAATATAAACAATATGTGTAGTGAATGAGGCTACCATGCAAAAGAAGCCCAGTAAAGTGAGTCAGTGCTGTGAAGCTGTGCAGCTGAAAGGAGTCTGCTAAGGTGACTTAGCTGACAGTGTAAACTCAGATTAACAGCTGAATATTAAACACACTGTGTTTCATGGTGATAATCCATCTTTTAATATTCGTTTTAGTGTTAAATATGATGTTTAAACATGCTAAAATGGATTTTAACTGGCCGTGAAATTTTTCCCCACCCCATTCACATTTGCATTCCTGGGTTTCCCCACCCGCCGTTTTTGGGTCGCGCTGGCGGGAAGGTCACTATTTGCACAGATTTGATGTCCAAACCCAGCTTAGATGGTCTTGCCAACCGATTTGATGGAAAAAAGGCATATATGACATGAAATATATGACAATGTCTCAGATGTATCATTGACAAATGTCAAAAAAGTGGTTTTTATTACACAAACAGGAAAAGTTGCAAGTGTAAGGAATACTGAAGTGTACGGAATACTGAAGTATATGGAATACCGCGCTCTTACGTTAGCTCCCTAAGGCTGTTGTAGCTATCCTAGCTTGTGACACTTTGCTTGGCTATCTTCGCTATCCTAGTTTGTGGTACTTAGCTCACTATGGCTATTACAGCTATCATAGCTTGTTGCATCTAGTTCACAAAGGCTATCTTTGCTATCTTAGCTTTTGGCACTTAGCTGTCTAGCCAGATAGCAAGGATATATTGGACTGCTGTCTTGATAAGGTCAGCACCCCACCTTTTGTATAATACTCTGCTTAACCACCAGTGGGCCGCCCGGAAAATGCTGAGCCGGCAGCTTTGACATCAGTGGCCCAACAGGCTCTTTCTGCTATCTGGGTGACTGGCTAAGGTTATCCTAGCTATAGCCATTGGCACTTATCTTAGCTATCCTACGTTTTGGCACTCAGTTCAACAGCCTGTAGCACCACCGAAGCCTGAGTCAAAGTTGTTGAGTGCAAGATAAATCCAGTCTTGAAACTATGGGAATGTTTCCAGTCAGCTCTAAGAACATGGATGTATATAAAGAGCATTAAAATACTCATTAATATAATATACATGTGGATAATTTCAGACTGCATTTCAAGGAGCTTTACGGAGACAAATCAGACATCAGAATATAGATGAAAGGGAAGCTAGCCGACAGACTAAATCTAGAGCAGATTAGTGACTAGCCAACTTAAAGAGCATCACTAACTCTGTAGATATAAAATAACATTACTAAATGCAGTTTAGCCATAGACATTAAGCAACAGTAAGGCTGTAGATTTGATCATTGCATTTAGTCTCATTGTTACTGTTTTATCATTGTTTTATTACCATTTCTTTCTAATGTCATCATGCCCAGGGCCTTAGGCGGCGGTCGCCTACGTGGCCTAATGGGCTGTTCAGTAATAGTTCAGGCAGTTGTAGAGCACAAGAGGAACACGTGGTGCAAAATAAAAAGCTATTAGGTGCAGTAAGTGCAGATAAACACAGTGCAAAGTACAAATCAAAACAGTACACAAGAGTTTGTATCTTTCAGTAAAGTTTTTTTAGCACGCGTTTCTTTCCATTTGCCAGCTGGCAGCTTAGTTAACTACATTTCCAAAGGAAGCACACTGTACCACACACTACTGTTAAACAATCCCTGTTTTCAATAATATAAAGCAGTTTTGTGGCATGTGTAGCACAGTACTTTATGACTTTACAAGTTTCAGATAATTAGCAGGAAGCCTTCTGAAAGAAAAATGCATTTAAGTGCATTTAATGTAAAAAGTATTTACTTTCTATGTTGACACTTTAAACATACAGTACTTTAATACATACTAAAAGTAATATATTGGAACAACATATGACATTGCATTTAAATTGCTATTAATCTATTATTAAATATATCTTAAGTACATTTAGTTGTGCTTTTCAGTGTTTTTTCAAACAACTTAAGTTGCACTTAAGTAGATTTAAGTATGTAATTTGTAGGCGTGACTGTAGGTACACTTGGAATATGTTTTAAATATACTGTTTGGTGTACTGTTACATTTTAGTACTGACTCCCTTTTCCAAAAAGTTGGGACGCTGTGCAAAATATAAATAAAAATAAAATGCAATGATGCGCAAATCATTTAAACCCCATATTTAATTGAAAATAGTACAAAGACAACATCTCAAAAATTTATCATTTAACAATGAAAACTGTACTTCCAGTCTGTATACAAGCACACCACTCCCAGTCAGACCGAACGTTCCTGAGTTGGAATGCTGTCAATATCTCAAAAACTGTGGGATGAGTTAGTGGATAAACGCCTGACAGAAGAAGAAGAAGAAGACAAAGGATTTCACAAAAAATACTGTAAATAGATAATGCAGTTTATCATTTATCATTTAATAAGTGCTTGTTGTTGCCAAAAACCTTAAAATATTCCACAAAACTTCAATAAGGGAAAGACTTTCTAGTGTTTTGTACATAACATTGGAGGAAAATGTTGCTATGCAACAGTATAAACTGGCACAATGTCAAAGGTAAAGCTGACCCTAGATCAGCTCCAACTGATCCCAGATCAGCTCAGTCAAGTATCAGTGGTGTGTTTAAATGCTATTTGTATTGAAATATGTTTGATTTTTTAATATTAACAGAGCTGTTTTATCTGCTTTATCTTGGCTTGGCCTTCTTTGTGGAGATATGTGACTTATTATCAAAGCAGGAGGTTCTTAGCCCTCATTGCGTACCAGCAGCTCAATGTTTCACACACAGAGAGCCAACAGTGTCCTAGTTGTCTTAGTTCCACAGGCTGAATGGCCACTAGGGGGTGTGCAGACGCTAAAAGTGTTCCTATATAGTTCTTGATTTAAGGTCAATTCGTGCTTCTGCACCTGACAGCGCACCTCCCCAGAAACTGAACTACACACCATGGCGACGCAGATGGAAACAACTCTGATTGGTCCGCTTGGTAGCATCACTATTCCTCCTACACATGTCTGGCTTCCAGAGAACTTATGGAGACAAAAATTACCGCTGAAATGTCTTCTGGGTTTCCCAAACGCTAGAGGGCGCTCCTGAGTCCAAAATGACCAAAATCAAAGTTTATAAATACTTAAACATTTTTAATGTAAAAGTATACATTAATTTCCTGAACACTTAACAGCATAAAACATTTTAACACCGCTGTTATATTTTAAGAGCTTTTAAACTTGAGTTATAGAGGTATAGAAGGATAAGCGGTTCAGATGATGTATGTACATCCTTCTACTTTCTAAAATTAAAGGAAAGTTCTGGTTCAGTGATTAGAAACTATTTTACCTTTTCGTTTTTAGCTGTTGAGCTCCATTTACTCCCATTCATTGAGGACCGCCTCGCAGGCGCCCTCTGCTGTTTAGCAGTCCTGTTTTTGATATAACGAGGGAAATAGGAAGTGGCCAGGCTCCTCATAAACTGGCTCTGTGGCTTCTCATTCTTTGCCACCAAACAAAGATCGAGTTGAAGAGAGATTTGCTATCACAAGTACAGATGATAAAAACGTATAACAGTGATTATTGACCAAGCCGAAATCGAGCCTGTTCTGTAGTGTTTTAAGCTGTAGCCTGCTAAGCTAAGCTAGCACAAGCATACCAAGCCTCCCACCTCAGTACAGGCTCAGTTCCAGCTAACTGACGTTTAAAAACACCCATTTAGAGGATTAGAACTCGTGTGAAAGCACAAATTCGAATGTCTGATGAAACAGCAACATAGGCCACTCACATAGGCTACGACATACACTCTGCGTTGATTCAAAGCAGAAGCTTAAATCAGCCTTTAGACGAAAATTCTTTAACTGAGGTAGAACTTTTGCATAATGTGGAGATTCACACTCGCACACCTCGATATCTCACCTTGTACATTCAGAAAAATGGCTCATCTATCATAAGTGGCTCTTTTATATCATCACTGTGAAGAAACCTTTTTAGCACCTTTAGTTTTAAGAGAGCAGATCTTCATTTGGATCTACCAGTGTGGTGTATGTCGATGTGCCACAGTAGTATAAGGCATGCGCAGTGGCTTCGTCTCCAACACACAGAGCCCCCCCCTCCCTCCTCACCAACATGCCATCAAATAATAGCATCAGCCTCCGCTGAAAAACCAGCTCTCTCCATAGCAACCTCACAGGAACACGAAAAACACGTCCAGCATGGCACCAGGCGGGGCGGACAGCGTTTCAGCAATTTGAGGAGGGCACGGTGATCCAGTGCCTGCTTCGCACATGACTGAGGGGAGATGGACCACCTCCTACTGTAGCTGGCTCTGACAGGTACTGTAACTTCTGTATCGCTTCTTTTCTGGGAACTGGCGCACTGGGGTCTTGGGTTTTAATTAGTTTAAAGTGATAGTTTAGCAAAAAAATCTAATTCACACAGTTTTCCACTCAGCCCAACTGTAGTCGATCAGCCGTACATGTTTGGTGTCTGAAGTTTGCTTCTTTAGTTTTGCACTCAGGCTACAAGAGTGATGTAGCTGATATGTAATAAAAGCTTACAGATATCAGCATCAAACTAAAACTGTCTTTAACCTCAACTGGACTAAGTAATAAGCTGTAACAATAACAGCAGCCATCTCTAAGCCTATATTTTGCCTATTATTATAGACAACTGTATGTCATAATGTGTCACAAACCACACACGTCTGTTTGAGATTAGTTAACAACACAATGCAGCCCATTCTTGTGTTTTAGATATAGTGTTTTTGTGTTTTTTATGGCTCAAAAACAGTCATAATTCATTTTACATGACCATTTTCCAAACTTTCTTTATCCTTCAGGGTTAAACAAGTAGCAGTTTTTGTTTCTGTGCCTTTAAAGCTATGTTCACAGTACAAGCCTTATTGCTCAAATCAGATTTTTTGCTCAGATCTGATCTCTCTGACACGATGGTTCACACTTGTTCAGGTCAGTGACTCAAATCTGTCATTAATGTGATGAACCGACGTCCTGAAATGACCCTCATGAACACATCCTACTCAGTAACGTCACGTGAATGAATCACGTTCATCATCAGCACAAACTAACGAGCAGAACGAGCTTCGCTGAGAAGATCATTAACTCTGATCAGCTCTCAGCTTCATTATTAGAGCGAGACAAAGGAGAAAAAGATGAGATGAGCTGCTTTTCCACCGTTTACTGGCTTTAACTTCTGTTCGGCACTGCTGCCATGGTAACGCTGAATGATGGCAAAGCGCAGTGGAAAAAAGGACACAAATTCCGATCTGAGCGTCACATTAAGGTCACACGGCCATGAATCGGATACGTATCCAATCTAGGACCACCATATGAAAGTGTCTCAGGTCGGATTTGATCAGATTTGTGTCCACACAGCCCTGAAAACATCGGATCTGAGTCACATTAGGGCAAAAAATTGGATTTGTGCCACTTCAGCCTGGTAATGTGAACGAAGCCTAAGACTGATGTATGTAAATGAACCCTTTTCTGATTGCACCGTATTGTGAGTTGTCCAGAAAGCAGTGCAACACTCCTTATAACTTCAGCATGAATGGGCGGGGCTGAACTGCTGTAGGCTGAATAGGTGGATATATGTAAATGAGTTCTTGTGACATCACAAAAACAATGGATTAACATTGTTCCCATATAAGGACAGGAGAGTGAATGGTATGTTTTGAAACGTTAAAAATGCTTAAATGTTACTTCAAAATATCTCAAAAAAGGTTGATTTTCCATGATATGGTCCCTTCAAGACAAACGTCTGATTATGTAAACATGCAGTTTGCACAGTGCTAATTGGTGTGTACAAGCTTCTATTACTTGTTAGCCACATTAGCCTTGTAGCTTCAGTGCAAAGCTAAAGAAGCAAACTTCGGACGCCAAAAATGTCTTGGCTGATGACTTCATTTGAGGTAAAGGGAGAACTGTGTCAAACTGATTGTTCACCAAACTACCTCTTTAAGCCCAGTTCTTGATTATGAGGCCTCTTTTTAAATAAATATCTGCCATTTAGGGGTGTCGAACTCCTGCCCTCCTGCCCTCCAGCCATCGAGTCTAATCCATCATATGTGCAAAAGTGCAAACAATCCAGTTTAAAACGAGAACTGCTTTTGGCAGAGTGTCCAGCAACATGCCTCTCATTACTTCAACACAAAGGCAAGTCTGATTTGATGTGTGAGCTGTTTATGAGCTTTGGCGTCCACTTATCTCTGCCTTTGTGAATTGCTTTAAGCAGAGCATAATTTTAGGGAAAGGGATGTAACATACAGCCCTGCGAGGGCCGTTTAGGAATAAATAACAGTGCAAAGGTTTGCTGGATTGGCTGTCGCCCGCCCACACACTCCCAAACTCCCACTCCGTGACACAGCGCTCACGCCTCCAGCTCCCCCACCGCTCACAGCTCCGCTTGGCTCACGCACTCTCGCTCACTGGCACCGAGTTGGAGAGGCTGTGATTTTGTTCTTACACTGTGTCCTATAATGGGGGAGGGGGAGTTTTTTCATATACAAAATATAGCTTTATTTGAACCCTCCGGGGCTTTTTCTCAATTTTTTCATATCTTCTTAAATTTGCCTTTGAACCCACTTATCACATAACATGATACCCATATGTTTTATGTCAAATTATTGACTGTGTTTCCATTCACTCAATAATACGATCATAATCGGATTTCTGCAGTTATCCCAACCCCTCTTCATGGGCTCATGACTCCGGATGGGAGTCACGTATGATCTCGTAATAAGATGGAATGGAATATAGAAACATATATAGAAATTTCCTTTTGGTTACTCAGGTCAACCTCTTAAAGGATCTGCATGTGGGCCTACACTTCAATCCACAATTCAGTTCTCATAATACAGAACCTACTCATCAGTTTAATAGTAGTTACTCGATGTTAAAGTCTTATAGGGAAAGTCCACCGATGTTTCAAACTCTCTGCATAAATAAATGGTTAAGATATACAGTAAGTAAGTCAGAGTGGTTTGAGGTGAAATGCTCCATTCTAGTTCACAGTGGTTTTGTCAAGTTAAGTCAAGATTTATTTATGTAGAGCTTTTTACAACACGTCGTCACAAAGCAGCTTTACAGAAAAATCCGGTCCAAGCCTCCATGGGTGTCGCCGGTGGTGACAGGGGCAAGAAAAACTCAACTAAGAGCAAGAGGAAGAAACCTTGAGAGGAACCAAGACTCAAAAGGTGAACCCATCCTCCTCTGGTGGACACTAGCAAACAATACCACAAGAGCATGTTAAAGTAGAGAAAAAGAATGTAGGTGAAGCAATGTCTCTGATTAAATCAAGTCAGTGCAGCTGTATCATCAGGAGGGTCAGTTCATGCAGGTGAGGTTTGCACAGCATTGTACAGCAGGAAGCTCCATGGTGGTCAGACTGGTCCAGATGACGGGCGAGCAATGGGCACCCGATCAAAGCAGATTAAGCAACAGCATCAGACCATACAGGATGGGCAGCTGTTCAGCTCAGCAGAGACACACAATTAGTTTTGTTAAGAGTGACTGAATACAGTTAACAGGGTAAACAGAGAGCAGCAGAGACTCTGACAGGTCGAGCTGTTACAGCCTCACTAAAAGGGAGTGCCAGAAGGTGACAGACATGAGGGCTTCCTGAGATGTCTCCGTCCCTACACCGTCAACAAACCCGAGTGAGTGCGTGAGAGCAGCGGGATGACAGCACCAACACTCCCAGTTTACCATAATACTGAATGAACCCCCAGATCTGCACCTTTTATTTTTAATAGGAAAAACTAATTACCAAAGGCTTGACTAAATAAGTGGGTTTTTAGCCTAGACTTAAAGACTGAGGCTGTGTCTGAGTCCCGAACACTGCCTGGAAGATTATTCCAAAGCTGGGGGGCTTTGTATGATGAGGCTTCACCCCCTGATGTAACTTTATTATTCTAGGTACTAATAGCGAGCAGCACCTTGTGATCTAAGTAGGCGTGATGGTTCATAATGAGAGAAGTTCACTCAGGGACTGAGGGGCCGTTTAGAGCTTTATAGGTCAGTAAAAGAATTTTGTACTCAATGCAGAATTTAACTGGCAAGCAGTGCAGGTTTGATAAAACTGGGCTGATATGGTCAAACTTTCTGGAGGACTCTGGCTGCAGAGTTCTGGACTAACTGAAGCTTGTTAAGGCTTTTGCTGGATCATCCAGACAGCAGGGCATTACAGTAATCCAGCCATGAGGTAATAAATAGCTTTTCCACATCCTGTAGAGACAGTGCATTTCTTAATTTGGTGGTTTTAGATGCTTGAGATGTCTGGTTTTGATAGTAACCAGACATCTAAAGCCTATAAAACTGGCCTCACAGAAAGGCTATTGCATGAAATGGTTATAAGTATACTGCCTGATGCCTGAGACATTGCTTCACAATAGTTTGATTAATGGTCTTGGATAGCAAATAAAATGCCTCTATTTGTGTTGCAGACAGCACAAACCCCTGGCTCCTATTACCACCATTGTAAAGAAATCAGGCCTGGCAAGTTTTTCTAAAATAAACCATTGCAACCAAACCACTCAATGAGGTTGTTTACGTCTCTCCTATTGATTTATGCTGATTTTTTGAAAAATCAGTGGAATTCCCCTTAAGGGCCCATAACCTACATTTTTCCTGTATTTTAATTTTTCCTCACTGTCTACTTTTGACACTTGTGTGCTTTTATAAACCTCAATTCATTTTTATGTGATTATTCGTCACCCTCTCTTTAAACATGTTTAGTTAATGTGCTTTAAGACTGACACATGTAAATGAGCTTTGCTCTGATTGGCTGCCCTGTATTGCGCCTGGTTCAAAAAGTGGTCCAGGCTAAAACACTCCTTATAACTTCAGTGTGAATGGGCAGAGCTAAACTATTGAAGGCCAAATCGGTGGATGAATGTAAATGATTTGGTTTTTCATGACATCATAAAAACAGACTGTTTTCTGTTGCTTAGCTGCTGTACAGACTGTGGAGTGAATGGTATGTTTTGAAACTTTAACAATTTTTACAAAGTTCTAATCAATTCCAAAAAAAACATTTATTTATTTTTTTTATGATAGCGGCTACGGAGCTCTGTTGGCGACATCCTGTATAAATAAAAATAATGCGTGGCCACGCCTTATTAATGCGTGGGAATGACATAATTAAAGTCGTGGCCACGACTTTGTAAGGCATGGGAATGAGATCCTGATGCATGGCCACGACTTAGTAAGGCCTGGGAACGACATCCTATTGCTTGGCCGTTCTAAGTCATTGCCACAACTTAATTATGTCATTCCCACGCATTAATAACCAAATTTTTTAACAATTCTGCATAATTCCAACACTGAGATGTAAACATCAAGTGTTTTGATGTGAAATAGTAGAAAGACTTACAGAGATTTCTTTACAGTGGTGGTGATAGGAACCAGGGGTCATGAGGTCTGCAACACCAGTGTAACCATTTTGTTTCTTATCCATGAATGTACATGTCTTTGGAGTGTTTATATGTAACGTCGATGATTATATAGTGGTGGAAAATCATTAAAAATAAGTTTTCTTTGGGGACTATTTTTCCTTACATCACCCTGTGTGTATCTCTCCACCATGAATGGATTGAAAATGTATTTTCAACCAAAAACTTCTCTCAAAACTATTATAAAACTTTGTCCCAGACATCAGGCAACAGAATTTGTCAACATTTCATATAAAAACTTACCATGAAGTAGCTTTTAGAGGCATTAAACCTTTCAAGTCCCCTTCCTGACACCACCACTTCACATCAAATAATACTGAAAGACTTTGTTTATATCTTTACAGTTTAATTATGCATTTTTTAATCAGTGGAATTCCCGTTTAAGGTCAGAGTTAGATTTAAGTGTAGGCCGTAATACACAGGTCAACAGAAAAGCCCCTCAGAAATGTTAACTGTTCATAACACATAACATAATTGTTGTAAAGACTGTGTTAATGCCTTGCATGTAAATATGGAAAGTCTGCATAAATACAGGAACGTTTCCAAATGAATGCAGTGTAAAGTGGGGCAAACTAAAGTCATGACACTTACTTGAGGCCTTCACACGAAACTTTGGCACAATCGGGGGACACCGTGCCAGGAAAATGCATGAAAAAAGTCATTTAAAAAGTCATTGTAGTCAGTTACCATGGTGACAGTGTCTCTAGATTGTATTACAGCATAGGAAAGACAGATGAGTGGCGTCCGGCCAGCGTTCACTGGAAGACTCGAAATATGACCGATGGTTGTTGGCCCAGTTGGAACAATGACATTAGGCATTGTGTAAAAGTTCTGGAGTGATTTATTCTAACTTGGAGATTCATCTAACAGATAAATGTGGGCCGTCCTTCACGGGTGATGGAGGTTAATAGATGGTGATAGACATAAAGGACATCTGCTAACGTTCATCGCCACCTGGTGGAACCTGCCGATGCTGTACGATGTTTACATTTCTGAAGAATCCTATTTTAAATGATCCAAGACATCCCAAACTGTGTACTTGCAGTCCTGCAGGCCTTCAGGAGCCATTTGGGACAGGGATGTACAACCCCAATTCCAAAAAAAGTTGGAACGCTGTGTAAAATGTAAATAAATGTAAATAAAAACAGAATGCAATGATTCGTAAACCTCATAGACCCATATTTTATTCACAGTAGAACAGTAGATGTTGAAACTCAGACATTTTACCATTTCATGAAAAACATTAACTCATTTAGAACTTGATTCCAGCAGTACATCTCAAAAAAGTTGGGACAGGAGCAACAAAAGGCTGGAAAAGTAAGTGGTACTAATAAAATCAGCTGGAGGAGCAATTTGCAACTAACTCACATGACTGGGTATAAAAAGAGCATTTTAGAGAGGCGGAGCCTCTCAGAAGCAATTTTATTTGTTTTTATTTACTTTTTTATTTACTTTTATTATTAACTTTTTTGGAATTGGGGTTGCAGTTTAAAGGGGAATTCCACTGGATTTTCAAAATGTTTAATTCAATTGTTGAGATGTACACAAAGTCATTCCAAGTGGTTTGGTGTGAAATGGTTCATTGAAGAGTAACTTACTGACTCAGATTTCTTTACAGTGGTGGTGATGGGAACCAGGGGTTGCACTGTCTGTAATACAACTATAAGCATTTTATTTGCTCTCCAAAATGACTATAAACCTACACGTGTCTTCAGAGATTTTCATATGTAATGTTGATGATGGTAAAATAGTTACAAATCTGAAAAAACAGGTTTTCATTGGGGTCTATTTTGCCTTACAGCCATCATGAATGCGTTTAAAACAATTCGTTTTAGGCCAAATCTTGATCTCAAAACTATTGTAAAACAATGTTCCAGGCATTACAGCATAACCATTTTATGTAATAACTTTCTGTGAGGGAGCTTTTAGAGGCATTAAACTCTTCAGACGTCTGGTTCCTATCACCACCATTGTGAACAGTTCTGACTCGAAATGTTCCCCTAAAACAGAGCATTTCACAACAATCCACTCTGAATGACTTTGTTTACAAGTGTGTGATGATTTAGGCTCGCAGTTTGCACAATGCTAATGGGAGGCTTTAAGCTTTATTTTTGCCTTTATTTTTTTTTACTTTTTTTTTTACAAAATTTGAAAAAATTGTGATGAATAGGCCAATAAAAAATGCCCAAAATGATTTTTTTGCATTGACATTCACTAAAAGTTAAATGTTTTTTTCCTTCTCCTGTAAAGATCCTATTTTGGAGATACAATGTTTTGTTCAGACAGCTACCTTAGCTACATTAGCCACGTAGCTTCAGTGCAAAACTAAAGAAGCAAACCTCAGATGCCAAATATGTCTTTGTTGATTGGCTACATCTGGGGTAAGATGGACATTATCGCTTCAGTCGGAGCAAAACCTCGTATCTCCAAAATGGTAACTTTACAGGAGAAGGAAAAAACCTACTCTACTTTTAATGTAAGTCAATGGAACCAGGCTTTTTTCCACATAATTTTCGTCCATTTATTTTGGTCCATTCATTGTGCCTTTACACACAATGCAAACGGTAACAGGTATTTTCAAATTATGTCAAAAACTGAAAAAAACGGCAAAAATGGAGACACAAAGTTTTGCTCCGACATCAGCGATAAATAAATTTGAACTTTCTCTTTAATATGTTGCCATTTTATTGGAAACGTCAGTTAGAGCTTATGGAATCCTCTTTTTTAAGACATTCCAGAGCCAAATCTTTAATCCTTTAGTCCTTTCTTTAATCGTAGGTGTCCGTGTGTGTGCAGGGCTGCAGGGTGTGCTGGTGTGATGGCGTACGCTGGGCCGGAGCTGCAGTGGAAGTGGACAGCGCTGCATGACTCTGTGTCGCTGCACGCTGTGGAGAGGAGGATCCGTGCCGCCGCCGCCGCTGCTGCTGCTGGGAGCAGACAGTGGAGGCTGCACAGCCGGCCCCGTCCACAGTACTCTCCGCTGGACGAGCGCAGGCTGCACCACGCTGCGTGGGACGGCTGTCTGGAGCAGGTGAAGGACCTGCTGGAGCACGGTGTCCCTGCTAACTGCCAGTGAGTGGCCTATGATCTGTCAGATATGATATATGTATGTAAGTATACAGATATTTTTGGTTGGTGGACTATTCTCAGTCCAGCAGTGACACTGAGGTGTTTAAAAACTCCAGCAGCACTGCTGTGTCTGATCCACTCAGACCAGCACAACACACACTAACACACCACCACCACGTCAGTGTTACTGCAGTGCTGAGAATGATCTACCACCCAAATAGTACCTGCTCTGTGGTGGTCCTGTGGGGGTCCTGACCACTGGGTACATCTCAGTACCTTTAGTCAGGGAACATAACTGAACCATAATCCACTGAAATGATATGTTCTAAGCTCTACTGACTCCACACACCCCGTCTCGTCTCCAGGCTTTTATTTTACTGCTCTGTTTTAAATCATTCGGTTATGAAAAGGTACAAATACGAACTTTTCATCTGGAAAAACTCATTTAAGGTTCACAATCAGACTCTAAAACCACTGTTGTACCTTTGAGGGAACGTTTACACTGTTCATTCCTTGATGAATGAAAATTGTACCTGAACAGAACCTTTATTTCTAACAGTGTATAAACTCAGAAGGAATGCTTATGTTCACTGATGGTTTTGGATAGCTAATAGAACGCGTTGCAACCCCTGGTTCTTATCACCAGCACTGTAAAGAAATCCGAGTTGATTAGTTAACCATGTCACGTCAAACCACTCACAATTTTTTTTACATCTTAAAGACTGAATGATGCAGAAATTTCGGTGGAAAATCTGTGGAATTCCATTTAAACAACTCAATGCAGTTTTAAGCATGAAGTGTTCATGATGGTGACTGTTAGCGTCCATTTTGGCCTGTCACAGTTATGACATATGGAATGGAAAGAAGTAGCATTACTTTGAAGAAAAAAAAACACACTAAAATATGGTGTGAGTGTGTGTGTGTGTGTGTGTGTGTGTGTGCTGCTGCTGCAAGTTGCCTGGGAAAGCCTGAGTTTTTCAGACCGTATCATGCACCTTTCCATGTTAACGTCACACACACAGACTCAAAAAATCAGATTTATCCAGTCAGGGAAGGGGTCCGAATCACAGCCCACATTGCAAAATGTTATTCAGCATATCTCCAAACAGGGAGGTCACCAAATCCCCAAAACTTACACAGTGTAGCTTTTAAACTGAACATATTTATTTTACAAAATAGTTAAATTCCACAATCACATCGCTGATGTCTGAACAAAACCTTGTTATCTCCAAAATGGTAACTTTACAGGAGAAGGAAAAAACCTACTTTACTTTTAATGTAAGTCAATGGAACCAGACTTTTTTCCAAGTCATTTTGCGTCAGTTTGTTTAGTCCATTCATCATGAAATTTACACACAATGTAAAGGGTAACAGGTATTTTCAAATAATGTCAAAAATTGAAAAACGTCAAAAATGGAGATACGAGGTTTTCTTCCGACAACAGCGATATTTTCATAAGGCGCATTTGGGGAAATACATGTAAAAAAAAGGAAACAGAAATGGCATTGAGGTATGTTATAGATTATATGTGAACAGAGACTGGTGCTTTAACACCTATAGAGGGCAGCAGTGAGTAAGGTTTGTTTATTTGAGCTCAATTTGCTCAGTTTTCTTTGGTTATTAACTAGTATCGACAGCTTGGAAGCAAAATAGCTCATCAGCCAGTTTGGCCACTTGAGGCTTGTATTTTAATAGCTGCATACAATGAATACACAAAAAAAGACAGTTGAATTGTTAATCTCGGTTATCTATATGGCAGTTAACGGTCAGATAAATATCATGGTAGACTCCTTTACTTGTTAGCTAAATCAGCCTGCAGTGCAAAACCAAAGAAGAAAACTTTCACCATCAAACATGTCTCGGCCGATTGTGTTTGATTGACTACATCATTTGCATATTTTCCATCATTCTAGAGACCCTCACGGCTGGACAGCCGCCCACCACGCTGCTTTCCGCGGACACCTGATGCTGCTCAGATTCCTGCTGCAGAGCGGTCAGGTGGAGGTGAACTGTCGGGACTTCTTCAGCTGCACTCCCCTGCACCGCTCCTGCATGGGGGGCAATACAGACACCACAGAGTACCTCCTCCAGAAGGGGGCATCTCATGAGGTGCGCTCCGGCTCTGGACAGACTCCCCTGCACCTGGCAGCAGCTGGTGGCCACCTGGGCTCGGCACGGGCACTGCTGCAGCACCTGGCCACTCCTGACCTGCAGGACTTCCACAGGTGGACGCCACTGCACTGGGCGGTGTGCGGAGGCTGGGGGGACATGGCGGAGCTCCTGCTGGATAACGGGGCAGATGTGGAAGGGGCGAGCGGCGGGGGCATCACTCCACTGCAGCTGGCCGTGATGGTGGGCAATGAGGCGGGCGTAAGACTCCTGCTCCATCGGGGGGCCGACGCAAATCTCAGAGGCTCCAGCGGGCGGACGGCACTGCACCTGTGTGCCTGCTCCTCTGAGAAAAAGGTGCTTTCAGGAACGGTTACACCTCTTACATACCTGCCATACTCGCATTAGTAGTACTGGGGTGATGATGGAAGACTTGTGGGAACAGAGGTTCAACACTTTGCTTAAAATGTTGAAAACTGGTGCTCACAGTCATGGTTTAGCATAAAAGGTGAGATTAAATCTGGGCCTGGAGTCTTTCTCACCTTTTGTCTCCTGAAGAGCCTGTTAATGCCCTGCTCCTTGTTTGTGAGACGATTGTCCTTTGAATGAGCAAATCTGCATTAGAACTGATTCAGGTCGTTGGTGAACCGGCCGTCGTTCAGGATAAGGGTTCTTCTCACCTCATAGTCTGTGATCTTCTAGAGAAGTGGGAACATTCTCTGCAAAGAGTCCAGATTCAGGCTGGAGAAAGGATTAAAGCAGCAAAAAGAAAACACTCAGACAAGCTGAAAAGCCAGTTTGCTACTAATGACCCACCGTCAGACTGGAAAGGCCTTCAGGCCCTTCAGGCGACAAAGTGACCTAGGATGCACCTCATTACTTTAACTGTGCATCTTGGTTTCATTTCTTTCCTTTCCTCGTGTCTTAACTCCTCCTTCTGAGCGCACGAGGAGGAACCCTTAAGCACAATAATATTTTTCAAACACAAACAAAACAAACAAATTAATTAACTTTCACAGTATCATCCAGGACCAGAGTGGGACTTTTTCAAACCGTTACACAATGTAGACCAGCCCACCAAACTGTAACTGTATTTTTCCTGCTAAATCTAAATTTTCATGCAAAATACCTTTTTCTAAAATGGTCTTTAATTCTTATTTTTATTTATTATTTATCTGCTACACTGAGATAACCAAGGTGGCTGGCTAGTGCTACAATAAAACTGGCAAAAGCTTTTATCTTAAATGTGACCCAGTCATGAGAGTCAATACGCAACAAACTAATACTAGCTAAGTAAGTTAAGGTCAGCATTTGTCCCTGACCATCTGCTCAGATATGTCCTCATCCTCCCTAAGCAGCTTTTTCATTCTTGTCTCCCTGGTCCCACCTTGTTTATTGCGTTTTTTGCCAATTGTTACATAAGTAATGCAAAAAAGTAATCAAAAGTGTCAGCCAGTTCCAGGTTCACACTGCCTTGCTGAACTTCATACACTAATCTTGTGAGGCTGATGTTAGCTTCTTATTTAAATTTCTGTCACACCTTAAATAGTGCAGCAGTGCAGCGCCCATTTAAGGTGGAATGGGAAATTAAATTAACTTCAGCTTCATCTAATCCCTATCCACTTTACGAGACTTTATATACTGCAAACTGGGGCTGAACCACTTGAGGTGGGAGCTGGTGCTTGCAACCCTAAATTACTGCAGATATACACTTGGACGTAACATTTATAGTTTGTCTGATCGTTCTTGTGCTTCTATTCGTGAGTTTATACATTAGCTCACAATTACTGGCCCAAAACATTAGCACCCCACCCGAAATTCTCCCGACTCTCCCGATTACCCACTCCAGCATCATCCCATTAAATTTTATTCATAATAAAGTGGCAAAATCAGAACATATATTGTGATTCAAAATGTGCTCAACAAAAAAGTTGAGCAGAACATTAAAGGAATAGAATAGAATAGATAGAATAGAACAGAATAGAATAGAATAAATTGCACTTATACATTTAAAATGGAGACATTTTAACAGATTTTCAGGCATTTCTTATTTTTGCTTCATTGAAAAATTGGGAAATTGAGATACCACTGTATGGTATCAAACCGAATTTAGAATGTGGTGAATTGTTGCACCCCCTAGTGGTCATGCTCATAGCAATGTGAGACCACACTTTTGGTTGGAGAACAAAATAAAACTAGAATAGTGCGTTTCCTTAAGAAAATACAGTGACTGTGCAGCTTAAGCTTATTGCTAGAAGATGCTGCTAGGCAGTTGCTACGGCATGAGGTGTGTGCACTCACTGGAGTCTATAGGAGGAACGAGGGATGAAAAAAACAACCCATAGAAGAGTGCGGGTCAGTATGGCTGTGGATCACAGCTTAGGGACCGGCCCTGAGTGAGTACATGCATCTTTGAGGCTGTCGTGTAAAGGAAATAATTAGGCTTGTGCAAGGTAAAATAACTGGGAGATTATGGGAGAAACGAGGGATGAGAAAAAAAGACAAACAGATGAGTGCAGGTGAGGACAGCATTGAATTCGTGCTCGGGGGCCAATACTGAGATAGTATATGCGAAATGGTGTCTTTTGGTCAAGCTGAAATACGGTAGATGGACGTAGAATTTTTTACCCCATTCATTCCTATGGGAAAAAAATTGCTGCAGATGTACACTTTGATGTAATGTTTATAGTTTATCTGAGTGTTCTTGCGCCTCTACGTGTGAGTTTACACATTAGCTCTCACTTACCGGCCCAAAACATTAGCACCCCATCCAATAATAATAATTATTCATCCAATAATTACACAGTACGAAGGTGGAGAAGTTGTACCATAGTCCCCACTTGGGCAGAGGATTCCAACCTTTTCCAGCTCACAGCCCACACAACCAATCACGAAAGCTTTTGCGGCCCACAAGGAGATTTAACTAGCTGGATATTTTTAATTGCAAGCAAATATAACACAAAAACACCCAAAAACACTGAAAATCTAAACATACCTAACAAGCCATGTCAGATACCTTGGTCATGCATTTTGACAGACCAGTCACCTGACCTAAATATTTAGGTATTTTCGGTGTTTTATTTTTGCAAATAGTTATCACAACAATTATATTTGACAAATTTTAAATTATTGGTTTAGTTTACTTTAAATTTGATTGCTTTTTGCAGTCCAAAAAATTGCAATGGGAATTTTTACAAAAAAAATGCGTAATTTAACGAAGATTGTACGAAAACCACACGTCGGATCAAAAAGTTGTACACAAGCACACGATTCCCAATTAGACCAAATATTCCGGAGTTGGAACGGTGTCAGTTTCTCGAGTTAGCAGACAAAAAAAAAAGAGAAGAAGAATATAAATCGGATAACAATAGTGCTGCGGATTGCTTCACTAATAAAATGGTAAAAATAAACTGGTGCTTTGAGTGAAATTTTAAAAGAGATTGATATTTTACAAGCAGTGTAAATTATGTCAAGTCTGTGGATGTAAAATAATCCAAAATATCATCATCTTTATCTCCTGGCTGGGCTGTGTGTACTAAATGCCACAGCCAAGTGCTGGGTGTACATTCAAGGTCTCTTTGCCCTTTTGGCTTTCGCTTCACTGTCAGTGCGTCATCCAAGTGCACACAGGGAAACAGATGGCATTTGGGTGGGTGAAGTGCAAAGCTCTTTGCTCTCTCCTCAGCACCGTTTGATCCGTCTTCCCTTCTCCTTCCTTCTTTCTCTCCATTCTTCTTCCTGCCTCCTTTAGATCCTACAGCACCTGCTGGCAGCCGGGGCTAAAGTATGCGTGCGGGACGGGGAGCAGGCCACGCCGCTGCATCTGGCCGCCCTCGCCGGCTCCAGGGCGGTGGTCCACCTGCTGATCCTGAACGGGGCCGGGCTGGAGGACAGGGATATCCTGGAGATGACCCCGTTGCACTACTCCACCCTGAAGGACAACGCTGAAGCTGCTAAGCTCCTGCTGCATTACGGAGCCGAGGTGGACGCTGCTGAAAGGCTGGGGCGGACAGCGCTGCACCTGGCCGCAGAGAGAGGCCACTGCAAGGTGGTGTTTCTCTGGCACAGTCATTATCTGTCCTCTGAGCTGCAGCTACAGTTTAGAGACGTAAACAGGGGTCCAAATTTGGTCTGACAAGTAGGGGGACCAACATCAAGAGGCTATAGTGTACATCCAACACAAACAACTAGAAATGAGACCATACCACTCTTTCTGTTCCAACATCGATATTATAACCTATAGTATATAACGTTTTATACTGATATCAACCTGATACCAATACCCATCAATACTCAAATACCATTTATATTAGAACCATATAAAAGTTGCAGATTTTATACATAAAACTAGGTAAACAATGTGTGCTGAGCTATTGTATTCTCAAGATGTCTGAGGTTTTATGTCAATATTAAAACACAAAACGTACAATATTATTAACACGAGTTACATATGTGAACGCTTTGTAGTATAGCTAGATAATAAAGCACTAAGGCACGAGAGGCTGTGGGTTACTGCGATTTTATCACGGGGAAGGGTGTTCTTTGAGTTAAACTCCCTTCCTTGTGATGAAATCGCAGTAACCCACTGCCTCAAGTGGCTTATAGCTTTTATAAAACAGTGGCAACATAAAATATCTTGAAACACAATATGTTGTAGCTAATTATTATTAATAATAACCGACATAAACAAGTATTCCGCCAAGAAATGTAGTCCCTTTAGAGTACGGTATCGTTGCTAAGCATCCATTGACCACTGAATGAAGAGAAGAACGTGCGGCCGCTCATCACTGTAAGTTACACTGCAGAAATTTCATGATTTTTAAAACTTTTTTCATATAACAGTGAAAATATGATAACACAGCACTGTTTAATGCAAAAACATTCAGTTTATAAGTAGTTTTTGGTCACCAAATCACCACCGCGAGTCTATTGCCAGTCTGACGACGCCACTTTTCTCACGCTGGGGCTGAATCTCAAACGGCTTCCTGCTCCCTACATAGTGCACAATGTAGGAATTTAAATACTGACTCCTGCAGCCCAACAGAGCAAAATATCACTAAAAATGGTCATTTGGGATTCGTCCACATTCAAACTCTACAGGCAGTCACTATTAGACAGCAGAAGCTAGAATTTCTCAATGTTACACAACACACTGTTTAGCTAGGGAGCACGGAGCCGTTGGGACTCAGTCTGGGTTTGACGCATGTAAGGTGACATTCTTTAGACTTCTATACTGCCGTTTTTTCTGTGAATCATATGGTGAGTACTTTAATTCAAGTCTGTGATATTAATGATGGAGTTGTTTAGCATGTTTGCTATGTTTTAGCCTGTTAGCTAGCTGACCAGCCTGGTTCTAGTTAAGAAAATAAGTTTTCAGCCCCTCAGTTTAAAGAAAAACAGGTTCTTACCTCATCAGTTCACTCGGTGCTCTGTGTGATCAGTGCTGTTGTATTGTTTATTGTTGTCTTTATTCCACTACTGTGTAAACAATTCCTCCACTCACATTTGAGTATTTTGTGTATGTCAAAAAATAATTGTGATTTATACCATAATAATCAAATTGAATCAAATTGTGGTGAAATTTGAGATTTCATTACGTGCTGAATCGTTTTCAAATGAATCATTTTCTATCGAATTACTGTGAGGTCAGAGGTTTTCATCTCTGCTATAGATGTCTTTGTGTTATTAGAGTAGGGAAAAACAAAAATGTGTAGTGTTTGGGCCCCTTAGGACTGAGAGGAGGAATCACTGGGTTACTGAATGCATATATTTGTTTTATCAAAGGTGAATTCTGCTGAAATTTTTCCAAAATTCAGTTGTTAAGATGTAAACAAAGTAATTCAGAGTGTTTTGTTGAAAAATGCTCTGTTCTAAAGAAACTTACCGCATCAGAATTGCTTACAATGGTGATAGGAACCAGACGTCTGAAGCGATTAATGCCTCTCTGGTGGAGGTCTATATGCTGGGCATTATAAGGAAACATAGTCCCTGAACGAAACTTAATTTATTAGATTCTCAGCTATTTTACCATCCTCAACATTACGTATAAAACTCAGAGGCCATGTTTAGGTTCACTGATTGTTTGGGTCTATATTAAAAAAGGCTTCACTTGCATTGTAGACTTTGCAACTCCTGGTTCCCATCAGCATCACTGTAAAGAAAATGCAGTGAGCATGTTTTTCTACAACGAACCGTTTCGCAACAAAACACTCCAAATGAATTTGTTTACATCCTGATGATTTAACTATGCAGACATTGCCATAGCACCCCATATTTTACCAGAGCTGTTATAATAATCCAAGCAAAAAATCAGTAGTACTCCAGATAGCAAGCATATATCAGTCTTGACAAGGTCAGCCTGATAAGGTCAGCATCCTGCTGGCTGTATGCCACTGCTGGTCCACCCTCGGTCCACCAAGATTACTGTCCTGCTCACAGTGTCTGATTTTAATCTCCTCAAACACATTTTAAATAACAGACAAACATTACAAATGATTAAGAGAAGAAAGTGAAAGACTAGGCCTCATATAAAATGATCTTGTTGAAAATGTTGTGCTAGGTTGGCTACAGCTGTATAAACCGCATTATTTATGATGACATTGCTGTTAAAATTATTCAGTAATCTAATTTACTAAGGACAGTGAAAGACAGAAATAACAGAAAATAAGTCACTTGGACTGTAAGTGGAAAATGAGCAAAGAAAAGTGGCATTTTGTCCAAAACTCTGCTCGACCACAAGTGGGCCACCCAGAAAACGCTGAACAAAAAGCTGGTGGGCCGCCAGCTTTGTCAGTTGTCCAACAATGGCCTGCTATCTTCTTGTCTACAGTTGTTGTCTGCCTATATTGCCATTCACCAGAGGCCCTTTGATCAACAGGTCCTCAGCGTGCTGCTGGAGAGAGGTGCAGACCCCTCGCTTCGGACAAAGTGGAGAGAGGCCGCAGAAGACGTGGCAAGAGTACACGGGCAGTCTGGATCCCTTCTCCTGCTCCAGCAACACAGCAAATCTGCAGTGAAAGCACAAACTCCAGGCCATGATGGCACATAGCAGAGTCTGGTATACAGAAAAAGACAGTTCTGAATATCAGCCAATATGTGAGAGTGGTGGGTTTAGGGGGGATTTCAAGGTACAGTTTCTCAGTTTGCTGAATAGCTTAACAATATACAACCCCGTTTCCAAAACAGTTGGGACGCTGTGCAAAATGTAAATAAAAACAAAATGCAATGATGTGCAAATCATTTAAACCCTATATGTAACTGAAAATAGTACAAAGACAACATATCAAACGTTGAAACTGAGAAATTTTATTGTTTTTTGAAAAATAAATGCCCATTTTGAAATTGAAAGACTGCATGATCAAAAAGTGCAACAATTCAAGAATAAAGTTTCTCAACATAAAATAGCAAAGAACTTCTGCTTTTCATCATCTACCATACATAATATCATTAAAAGATTCAGAGAATCTGGAGAAATCTCTGTATGTAAGGGACAAGACTGAAAAACAGTATTTGCTGGCCATGATCTTTGGGCCCTCAGGTGGCACTGCATTAAAAACAGACATGATTCTGTAGTGGAAATCACTGCATGGGCTCAGAAACACTTCTGAAAACCACTGTCTGTGAAAACAGTTTGTTGCTGCATCCACTAATGCAAGTTACAACTAAAACGCAAAGAAGAAACCATACAGAAACAGGATCCAGAAATGCTGCCACCTTCTCTGGGCCTGAGCTTATTTAAATGGACTGAGGTGAAGTGGAAAAGTGTCCTGTGGTCCGACAAATCAATATTTAAAATTCTTTTTGGAAATCATGGACACTGTGTCCTCCGGGCTAAAGACCACTCAGCTTGTTATCAGTGCACAGTTCAAAAGCCAGTATTCATGATGGTACAGGGGAGCATTAGTGCACATGGCATGGGTGACCTGCACATCTGTGAAGGCACCATTAATGCTGAATGATATATACATGTTTTGGCAACATATGCTGCCATCCAGACGACGTCTTTTTCAGGGAAGGCCTTGATTATTTCAGCAAGACAATGTAAAACCACATTCTGCATGTATTACAGCAGCATTGCTCTGTATTAAAAGAGTCCGGGTGCTAAACTGGCCTGCCTGCAGTCCAGACCTGTCACCACTGAAAACATTTGGAGGGTTATGAAATGAAAAATACGACAAAGGAGACCCTGAACTGTTGAGCAGCTGAAATCCTATATCAAGTAAGAATGGGAAACATTTGAGTGTCTCCTCAGATCCCAAACACTTACAGTGTTGTTGAAAGAAGAGGTGATGAGACACAGTGCTAAACATGCCAACTTTTTTGGAACATTTTGTTGGCATCAAATTCAAAATGGGCAAATATTTTTCAAAAAACAATGAAATTTCTCAGTTTCAACATTTGAAATGTTGTCTTTATAGTATTTTCCTTTAAAAATATGGTTTACATGATTTGCACATCATTGCATCCTATTTTTATTTACATTCTGCACAGCGCCCGAACTTTTTTGGAAATGGGGTTGTAGACTCCTATTGCACAGTCAGCCCTTTTGGATTATGTTCTCCAACTCATGGCAAAATTCTGCTTTGTGAAATAAGCTCCTCCTCCTCTCCTGAGTGTGTGGCGAAATAGTCCAAGGGACGTACAGACTACTATGAATTACACTACTGTGAATAGGGTATCGGGACAGTCCACCGATCTTTTTAAATTTCTGAACAATTGAGTCCTTGAGATATAAACAGAATCATGGCAAGTGGTTCATTGTAGAGATTCTTGATTTTTCCACAGTGGTGGTAAAAGGGACCAGGGGTCTCAATGTCTACGACACAAATATAGCCATTTTACTTACTATCCAAAATCACCAGTGAACCTACACACGTCTGAGTTTTCATATCGCTGCTGTCAGAAGAAAACTTTGCATCTCCATCCGTTTTTCAGTTTTTGGCATAATTTGAAAATACCTGTTGCTTTTTACATTGTGTGTAAATTTCATGAAGAATGGACCAACAGAAACAGCTCAAAATGACTTGAAAAAAGTCTGGTTCCATTGACTTACATTAAAAGTAAAGTAGGTTTTTTCCTTCTCCTGTAAAGTTACCATTTTGGAGATACAAGGAGATACATGGTAGGAGACCACAAATTAATATACTGAGGCCACAAGCTATTATATTGAGAGCACATATTAATATATTGAGTCCAGTAGTTACTATACTGAGGCCACAAAATAGTTTATTGAGGCCATTATTATATCGAGGCCACAAGCTGCTATATTGAAGCCACAAATTAATATATTAGGGCCACTGGTTACTATATTAGGCCCACAAGCTGCTCTATTGGGGCCATATAAATATATTGAGGCCACAGATTAAGAGGAAAACTTTGTATCTCCATTTTTGTTTTTCAGTTTTTGGCATAGTTTCAAAATTGTAAAGTTGCTCTTTACATTGTTTGTAAATTTCATGAAGAATGGACCAACAGAAACAGCTCAAAATGACTCGGAAAAACATCTGGTTCCATTGACTTTTTACTTACATTGACCATTTACTTACATTAAAAGTAAAGTATGTTTTTTCCTTCTCCTGTAAAGTTACCATCTTCATGGCCTCAATATATTAATTTGTGGCCTCAATAATAGTAGCTTGTGTCCTCAATATATTAATGGCCTCAATGTAGTAATTCCTGACCTCAGTATAGTAATTCATAGCTTCAATATAGTTATATGTGGCTGCAATGTAGTCATTTGTGGCATCCATATAATAGAGGTCTCAAAATATTAATTTGTGGCCTCAATGTACTTATATGTGGCCTCAACAGATATAGTAATTCATGGCCTCAATACAGTAGCTTGTGGCCTCAATATATTAATTTGTGGCCTCAATATAGTAACTCATAGCCTCATTATAGTTATATATAGCCTCAAAAGGTATAGTAAATTGTTCCTACAATATATTAATTTTTGGCCTCACAAGCTGCAGTAATTTGTCCACCTGTTTGGCCTCCTAAGCTCCTCTAGAACAGGGCGTTTGACACCAAACCACTCTGACTGACTCTGTTTACATCCCAACCATTTATTCATGTAGAAATTTGAGTGGAGTTTCCGGTGGAGTTTCCCTTTCAGCCGCTGTCTGAACATATCGATCTTTAACTTGTGATGTTTTCACCATTAAACGGCAGAGTTGTGCAACCCTTTTCCCGGAAAGCGTCGTCTTTGCCTGGCTGACGTCACGGTCACGTTTTGGGAACGGACCCGCGGAGGGATATGTCCACGCGCAGCTAGTTCCCGTCCTCAGCGTCATGGGAACTTTGGTTTCTGCTGAGTCAAACGAGTGAAATTCAGAAATATTACAGATTATTTCTGAAAAATAAACTCTCCTTTCTTACCCCTTCTCAAATAGAGGGTCCCCGGCCTGCATTGCCTTCGCCTGGTGTTCTCGGGGTACAAAATTCATCCGTTTTAGGGCGAAAATTACAAATGTAAAAGCTTTTTGCACCAATACACTGATTTATTTACATCATACTGAGGATTCATGGTGAGTGTTTTTAATGAGGCCTGGCCACAAATTAATATACAAAGGTCACAAATTATTATATAGAGGCCGAGTTACTATACTGAGACCACAAATTAATATATTGAGGCCACAAGCTTCTATATTAAGAGCATAAATTAATATACTGAAGTTACTAGTTACTATATTAGGCCCACAAGCTACTACACTGAGGCCATATATTGATTTATTGAGACCACAAGCTACTATATTGAGGCCATATATTGATTTATTGAGACCACAAGCTACTATATTGAGGCCCCATATAGATATATTGAGGCCACAGTTTAATATTTTGAGACCATTAATATATTGAAGCCACTTGTTACTATATTGAGGCCACAGATTAATATATTAGGGCCACTAGTTACTATATTAAGCCCACGAGCTACTATATTGAGGCCACAAATGAATTTATTGAGGCCATTATTATATTGAGGCCACAAGCTGCTATATTGAGAGCACAAGTTAATATATTGAAGCCACTAGTTTCTTTATTGAGGTCACAAAATAATTTATTGAGGCCATTATTATATCGAGGCCACAAGCTGCTATATTGAGGCCATGAATTACAATAGCTATTGAGGCCACATATAAATATATTGAGGCCACAAATTGATATTTTGAAACCAGTAATATATGGAGACCACATATAACTATATTGAAGCTATGAATTACTATATTGAGGTCAGAAATTACTACATTGAGGCCATTAATATATTGAGGACACAAGCTACTATATTGATGCCACACATTAATATACTGAGTCAATGAATATATTGAGGCCACGAATTACTATAATGAGGCTATTTATATATTGAGGCCACAAATTAACATATTGTAAGAACAAATTACTACAGCTATTGGGGCCATATATAACTATATTGAGGCTAGGAATTACTATATTGATGCCACGAGTTATGAGAAACCTAACTCGTGGCCTCAATATAGTAATTCGTTAAAAAATATTATTAAAAAAAATAATCACTATGTCACTTTGGGGTCTTGCCGTAGAAAATAGACCCCATTTTCCAGACGTGTGCGTGAGAGGAGGCGGCCCTACACAGCGCGGATGTGCACATACTGTTGGTAACCTCTGCGTTCTCCGGCCGGCGAGCTTTACGTCAGCCCTCCGTCCTTCCGTCCTGAACGTTTTGTGCTTGTTTGATCGGCTGAGGCTGCTTTCGCACCGATGGAGGCTACGATGGCTGCGGGTCCGGCGACCACCGCCACCAACACGGTTACCAGCAGCGACGGGATCCTCATCGGCGACAAGGTTTACTCCGAGGTCTTTCTGACCATCGACAACTCGCTGATCCCTGAGGAGAAGCTCTCGCCGACCCCGTCCATGCTGGACGGCCTGGACCTGCACACCGAGACCGACCTCCGCATCCTGGGCTGCGAGCTGATCCAGTCCGCAGGGATCCTGCTGCGTCTGCCGCAGGTAGAGAAGACGGTTTTAACGTTTAACGGCACTTTTTGGGGGGCTTATTATTATTAGTTTTTATTATTGTTACTTATTTCCACTCGAAAACACGCCTCGCGCCATTTAAGGTGGAACGGGATAATTCGATCGGAAGCCAGGCTCAGCGTCAACGCAGCGAGCCGGCGTCGGTAAAAGTGGATCGTAATAACGTATTTTACTGGAAATCTACGTGTGAAGTGCCTTAATGTGTTTAAAGTCTAATATATCTCTCAAATCTACTCATCTAACGGGTTATTTTCCCTGTTCGGCTCGCCCGCCTTTAGCTTTAGCATTAGCTTTAGCGTTAGCTTTAGCATCGTCTCGCTTGCTCAGACAAAAACAAAATGGCGGTTGAGTTTGAATTCTGGAATAAAAGCAGGTTTTCTTAATAAATATCGTGCTTTTCCCCCCCGTATAGGTGGCCATGGCGACCGGACAAGTCCTGTTTCATCGGTTTTTCTACTCCAAGTCGTTCGTGAAGCACAGTTTCGAGGTAAGTCGAGCTTTGCCGGCTGGTTTTTAGGCCCGGCTTCGTAACCGCGACGTCGCTCCGGCAGCCATATTAGAAAAGCCCGTAGAGAGCGAACACGCGGCGCACAGCGACTATATACGTCGCTATTATATGTTATTATTATATATATTATATATATAGCACTATATAACACTGTACAAGGGGAGTTTCACCAGTTTTCCAAAGTTTATAGCTCAATAATTCAGTCCTTGAGGTGTGAAGTCATTCAGAGCCATGAGTTCTGTAGTTACAGTGGTGTTGATGAGATCAAGGGGTCACAATGTCTACAACTATATCCATTTTATTTACCATCCAAAACAACCAGTGAACCCACACGAGCTTCTGTATGTAACGTTAATATGAATGATTCGTGTAAAATAAGCATCATTCTGATGAAGTAAGTTTTCTTTGGAGACTGATTTGCCTTGCCTGTTCTCTGCCATGAATGGATTAAAGTAAACGAGTTTAAATCAAATTTAATCCGAATTTGTACCACACAACTATCATGCTGACATCTGGCAGCATCTAGGTAGCCTCTTAAACTCCTTGGGACCACCGGTGGTTCCAAAACGCACTTCGTCATATTCTTCATAACGTTAATATTTCATAATCTACATTCAAAAGGTGGGAGTCATATGAGAGCTGTAACTGTCTTCTTAGATGGGTGATGTAATTTTTAACTCTTATAATAAAAAAGCTGAACTCAGTCGACCCATTTTTCCACAAATCTGGGCTATAAACTATAAACAGATGGCGTCTCTTCAGTGATCTGCTCTGTAAGAATCATTTTTTATAAAATAATACAAAGAGCGTTGAAGATTTTTGGCTTTCAGCAGTAAATTGTAAGCATATAGCAAAAAGTATGATCATAAAACACATGTTCTGTTAATTTGAGGGGAGCTTTTACAAAAAATAAATAAATAAATAAAATTTAATATAAAAATAATAAATAATAAAAAAACAGAATATACCCTGGAGAATAAGAGGTTAACCCTCTCATCTTATAACTTTCTGTGTGGGAACTTGTAGAGGCATTAAACTCACCAGCGCTGTGAGCAGTTTTCGACTTGGCGAGTTCCTCTAGGATGGAGCGACTGACATCAAACCACTCTGAATGACTTAATTTGCATCTTAACGGTTTCATTTTGTAGATTTTTCTTGGAAAATTGATGGAGTTTCCTTTTGAGAGTAAGTTAGCCATCCTTGAGCCTAAATGATGCTGATAAAACCTGTCAATTAACAAAAGATTAGTGATATTAGGTTTAATGCTGGCAGTAGAGTATTGATGCTGTAGCTGGTCTCCAGCTTCATTTAGAGGTTTTAGAAAATTTTATTAAGAAGCTGATTTCAGTCTAGTGTTACAGCATCTATAGCACCTATAAGCAAGCATCAGTACTACAAACTACTGAGTATTTCGTTCGTTATATTAGACTATATGTACTTGTTTCTTTAATCTGAGCCCCATATGATCGTTAGAAACAGCTGTCTTTCTATCTAGTCGTAAGGAGTTTGGATCTAGTTTGGATAAAGTTATAAGGCGCTCTCATTTAATTGGGCAAAAATTATGAAAATCGTTATATTTGTATATCATCATAGATCCTGCTCTGATTCCAGTTAAACAAGACTAGTGATCTCTTTATGAGTAAACGTGGTTAGTTAGTTCTTTAAGCACTGACATTAACTATGATGTGCTCAGAAAAGCATATTGTGACGATTTATAACAAAAATACTATGTGTGCTTTTTTAGGGTTCAAATTCCTGATTTGCTGCTGTTCTTTTAAGCATAGAGATCTGTCAGTATTTTACCATTAGTGAAGGACGTGTCGTGCATTTTCATACAGTTCATATCTTGTTGGGATAGTTTGTTGTGTAGCATTGGCTCTGCCTCATACTGCCTCACTGGTGTTTTTCTTTTCTCTTCTAATCCTCTCTTCAGATCGTCGCCATGGCCTGTATCAATCTGGCTTCAAAAATCGAAGAAGCCCCACGACGCATAAGGGACGTCATCAACGTCTTTCATCACTTAAGACAGATCAGAGGCAAAAGGTAAGCACCGTTTGTGCTTTTTTTTTCCCGTCACATTCCCAACTGTTTCTTCTGTTTGTTACCTGTGCCAACAACCTCCCACCTTGACAGATTTTTCTTTGTGTAACATTTAACGTCATCACTTTTACATAAGCGAATCAGGTATAGTTTAAAAACATGTTTACTGTCAATAGTCTCTGTGCCTTTTGTTTTCAATAGGATGTCCTGATTTGAGTGCCTTTTTGTTTGATTTATGTACTCTAAACCATTTTAAGGCTTTTCAGTTTCATCATCAGTCATAATTGGTAGTAACAGCAAGGTAGTTCATCTGCTTACCTGAGCAAGTAAAGTGCATCCTGAACACTCGGAAGTTTTAACGATAACGGATGAATATTTGACGTAATAAAGTTTGTGTAACAAAAGTTTTGGGGTATATTGTTATAATAAACGGGGTAGGGATGGGGAAATGGATTTGTTCAACTGAGTAAGAACTGAGGTATTAACTTGAATTCTCTTTTCCCTTGCAACCAACTAACAGCGACCAGCTACATTTACCAAAGCCTGGGTGATGTGGAATGGTACGTAGAGATGAAGCAGTCGGCATGGCAACAGTGAGCGAGGTGTCGCTTCCCCCCCCTCCCCGCTCCCCTGGGAGACGCCAGTGGTCTGAAAGCGGTCACTGGGAAATCGGGGACGACAGGTTGGCTGCTGGTCCCGAAGCGCCTGGGTGACTCCTGTATCTCAGTTTAAGCTTTATTGTCTCTGCTAACACAGGTGATTTTTTAAATGGTGTCATTTTAACAAGCTCAAGACAGACAGACCACCTCATATCACAGCTTTCACAGAAATCCACACCTTAGATTAGCGTTTTCCATTTTGGGTCCATGTGGCAGGGCCTTGCTGTTCCTGTGCACTCATAATGTAGCAGGAACGCTTGCACCAAACTTAGTTTTGCACTGGCTTTTGATTAGAAGCGATCAGTTTAGAAGCAAAACTTTATTATTAACATTTTTATCTCTCATCTGAGTTCATGATGGCTCATCCATGTGGTGCACAGCTTGGAAGCATCACTGAGCACTCACAGTTTTGTCAGCGCTGTGTTGAATTCGGCTGAGTCATTGAGTTCACAGGCCTAGTTTTAGTAGTTTCACAGTGAGTGCACTTTTTATCAGGCTGATGATGGGCCATCATGGTAATATCTGACCTGATAGTGCTTTAATAACCTTCTGTGAATCATCTCTGTTTCTATCCAAGTACACATTAGGCTGTTTATCTCTTGGTCAGGCCATGGTTCAGGTTAGGTTGCTGGACGTTCTAGAGAGTGGATATCCTGTAGACGTTTTCTGTAGTGCTAAATTATTTTGGCTTCTTTTAGTAAACTTAGGTCACTGTCCTTGTTCATTAGAACTTTAAGGCTTATATAGGCATTTTATATACTTTTATTCTCGTCTTGGCTGCTAGGATTGCAATCCATGATGTTTTTTTTATGGTATACTCATCTTTTTGGCTTACTAGTTTTAGTGGAATACACACAAGAGTGTTGGCTCAGTGCATGTGTTGTCATTTGGTGTTTTTGTCTGTGTTTGGACCTGTTTCCCTGTTGCCGTAGAACGGGTCCAAATCACAGCTTAGATGTAATTCACACTTAATGAAATCCGGTTGGGGATGTTTTGAGGAAATTAAATAAAAAAAAAAAAACCTGAACGATGTGTGAAGTACCTTTTTTAAATTTCTTCTTATTTCTTAGCTTTTTGTGTTTTTTGCTTATTTTATTTTATACTGTAAAGACACCGTTCCTGTGGTGAGCAGTACCATCTCTGCTTAAACCGCTGTTGTGTCTGTTGGCAGGATTGTTGCATTCTCTGTAAAGAGGAAGCATTTTTGGCAGACTTGACTCGTGGTCATGACTCATTGTGCGAAGGTGTGCGTTTTTTGCTGTGTTAAAGCTGTGATGTGGGGGAAGTTTGTGTTCTATCAGTCACTTGTGGCAGGTCTAAAAGTCTTCTACTGAAACTACAGGAGTCAAGAAATGGACCTGTTGCCTTTAGTTGGTTGGAAAGGGAAAAAAAGCAGCTTTATTTAAAAGAAGAAAAAAAAAACAAGCAAAAAGGCACTGTGTCTCTTGTTGGTGATTGTTTGGGTTGGGGAAACAACTTTATTTTCATTCCTTTATAAATCAGGAGTTCAAGCCCATTGATACTTGATCAGAACTACATAAACACGAAAAACCAGGTGATCAAAGCTGAGCGGCGCGTGTTGAAGGAGTTGGGTTTCTGCGTCCACGTCAAACACCCGCACAAGGTGAGTCAGCCACATTTACATTTCGACCAGACTCAGGAGGGACTAGTCATACGCTTGCAGCGTAATAGTCTTGAATATCCTGTTCATCAGAGATGAAATGTTGCTGTAGCAGCTGTGCAGCCTGTTTGTATCCTGTAGAAAAAATCTAAAATGTATATCTGCACATTGACGTAAATTAGGTCAGGCTGTGGTTTGAACACCTGTGCACAAATAAACCCTTGCAAAGGGGGTCCGACCGCAACCCTGCCGTGACGTAACGTGCCATGTGTTTCGCTTCCAGATCATCGTCATGTACCTGCAGGTCCTTGACTGCGAGAAGAATCAAACGTTGGTCCAGACAGCCTGGTGAGTACATAACTCTACTCAGTTAGGAGTCTAGACGCTCTTCACGTAGCCAACCCACTAAATAAGCCTTTACTCTGTAATTTTTTTTCTCCCCCCTTTTACACCTGATGGACTTTTTATACTCAAACATGTCTCTTTCCCCCCCCTTGATTTCTTTTATTCATGGATTGAGTCTATAATTTCATGAATGAAGCAAAAGAAACGGAGATCTCAGTTTAACTTTGTCCTTTCTCTCTACTCTTTGATTAAAGGGTAGTCCATGATGGTAAGTGTCATAAAGAACCTCTGAACTCTGCTCCTCCAACCACATGACCCCAGGAATCTCCCCCCCATTGGCTGCCCGTCTCGAGACGGCCAATCCAGTGAGCGCTCTCTGCCCGAGAATCACTGAAGGGGGGCCTTTTCCATCTGGCAACATCATCTTGTTTTCTTGGGGTTGTCCAAAAGGATTTGTATTTTTTTGTTTTTGTTTTTTTGTTCCAAGTGTTTTTTTTATTTTTATTTTTTTTAATTATTATTTTGAAGGTAGTTTTAGAACGAAAGCACATTTATTTCAACAGTTTACCACTAAAGCAAGTAGGTATTACAAAAGTACAAAGTGTTTTTTTCCTCTACTTGTCTGTTCACACTGATGTGGTTTCTAGAAATGTCTTCCAGGGATCGCCATCCTGCTCAGGCTTTGCCTCCAAGGATCCTTTTGGCTATTCCCTTTTCTGTATTTCTCAGTTCTGAATGACGTCTCATGTACAAGTAGCCAGACGCTAGCTTTGAGTACAAGTTCAGGAGTAAACATGCGTTAGTGTAGTGTCACACGTCTTTTTGTGAACCAATGAATTGTCGCCACATGGTTGTGAGATGTTGTTAGGCTTAAGTTAAAACTGCTTCATCGTCCATCTCTCCCATGACCCATCTGTCTTTGTGTGTTCAGACTGCATAGACGCCCATCTCTGGTAATCATAGAGCTCATGTCTACCCATTCAGTCTGTCTGTCTTTCTGTCTGGTAGTCAGAACCTCACTGTCTGACGCAGTCTTGTACTGCTTGAGACGTAGTTCGTCCTCTTGGCTCTCGTTTTCCCAACCCACAGCGCATGCTGCTATCGAAATGCATGCCATCATTCAGCCCGGGTACCCTGCAGCCACCCGTTCCCCAAACCCCCCCCCCATTTTACTTCCTGAACCTCGTCATTTGCTTTTTCCCAGCGGAAAGTCAGTCCATAGTCGCAGGTGACGCAGCCTCTTGTTTTGCAGGCATAAATGGATGGGATTTAAAGCCTGCGTTGTAGCTTATGGTTAAATTGTCAGTTCTGTTTTGCATGCACACACAGTGGTTATAGTTCTTTAATTTTTATTTTTATTATTTTAAGTTTCTTGCATGCAAAGGTGTAATAAATCCCAAGTTTTTTCTTTCTTGTCCCCTTTTCTTGATGGCCCACATGAGCTTGTACATGTTCAGGACTCCAGCGAACCATTCCAACATGAACGCACTCTCCATTTGTTCTGCATGTCTGTGTATACACGGCAAATGTGGAGGCATCCAGGAGTGAAAGAAAGGAGTGAGAGAGAGGGAGGGAACGGACAAAGCTAAACATGAGTCTCCTTAAAAAATCATCATGAGCGCACTGCAATCATGGAAGGAGGGGCGGGGAAGAGTCTCTTGTTTGAGGGAGGGGGGGCTGACGGTGGCTGGAACTCAGGGAGATGTGGCAATGTTGTGCTTCACCTTTTATGTTGCAGGAACTACATGAACGACAGCCTGCGCACCAACGTGTTTGTGAGGTTTCAAGCAGAGACCATCGCCTGTGCCTGTATTTACCTCGCGGCCAGAGCTTTACAGGTAATTTTACAATTAATGTCAGTCGGCTTCAGCTCTACCCTCGTTCTCAGCTTTTGTGTTAAACCCAGAGGGGATTTAAGATGTGAATCACCTCCCTTTTTTAAATATTGCCCAGAGAGATCAGAATTGGCTTTTAATTCACTATATGGGAGAGCAGGGCACAACCTAATGCAGGGTGAAATGTGGACATGTGGCCCAGTCGCATTACTTATTTTTACCTCTACCCCTTGTTTTTGAGTGTTATCTTGCCCCTTGGAACTGAGTTACAGGGGGGTAGTGGTTGAAATCATACATACATACATAATCTAAACCGCTTATCCTTCTGGGTCGCGGTGGGGTGCTGGAGTCTATCCCAGCTGTCATTGGGGGGAAGGCAGGATACACCCTGGACAGGTCGCCAGTCCATCGCAGGGCCTGAAATCGTCCTTACGAAATGGGACCCTCAAATAAAGAGCATTACTTCATTAACAGCTACTAGCGCTGCTCTGTAGGCGACCCTGCCAGTCTGCAGTGACAGCAGAGGAGGGTAAAGTTCAGCTCCTCACTGCTGGGCTTTAGTTACATTTAGGGCATCATGTGCCTTCAAAGAGGAGGACAATTATTTATTATCGCCCACCCCTAATTCTTCAGTGATATGAAGCTGAAGTCAGCTATTCGCCAGCTTCTTGTTCAAATTTTCTCGTTCCACCTTAAATGGAGCAGCTTTTCTGATGCCTGAGGTGCCAGCATGTTGGGTGAAACGGGACATAATAGATGAGCACACAAAATAGAGGGTTGAGGGATGAAATGGGATTAGGCTTTTATGTAGTGATATTTTATGTAACAGACCAAATAGTGTAAAACTGTATTGAATTGTTTTCAGAGTTATCAGACTTCTTAGCAACTATTACGACAAGCTTCTTGGTCCTTTTGCAGTTAAACCTGCCTTTTTGCAGGCATTCTGCTTTCAGCTCAATTGTTTATGTATGATGGGTGCTAGAAATGAAGTTCTAATTTGTGCCGGAGTTGTGTAGTTATATAAAATCATGCTCAAATGCTTCCAAAGTTGTTTGAGCGTAAACCAAAACGTTAGGTTGCGTCCCCCTCCCTTCTGCTCGGTGATGCTGGAGATGCCATAGGATGAAATCTGGCCCATGTTACTGATCATAAATAATCAAATAAATTGATTTTTAGTATTTATGTGCGACAGTGAAGTCAAGCATTAAACAAAATTGACAGTTATATTGCTTCTTGTTGGAAGGAAGCTGGGTAAAAAACAATTTGTTGATTTTTGGTTTTATTTTTTTTTTTTAATGTGCTGTGATTTTGAGCTTTTCCTATCCACGTTTAGACCCAAGCAGTTCCAAATGGCAGTTTTGAATTTATCAGACTAAATTCCTCAAAATCTAACCTTTCAGATCCCTCTGCCGTCTCGGCCGCACTGGTACTTGCTTTTCGGAGCCACGGAAGAAGAGATCAAAGACATCTGTATCACCACTTTGAAGCTCTACACAAGGAAAAAAGTAAGCTCGCTCTCGCTCTCTCGCTCTCGCTCGTATCTCCGCTCAAACTCTGCCCTCTTTCTGTTCATCTCATTATTTTTAGACCTGTGTCATTTGCACGTTGCTGATGGTGTGTTTGTGTTCTGTCTTATAGCCAAACTATGACTTACTGGAGCGAGAGGTGGAGAAGAGGAAGGTGGCTTTGCAGGAGGCTAAGCTGAAAGCTAAGGGGCTGAACCCGGATGGCACGCCTGCTCTGTCCACACTCGGTGGATTTTCTCCTGGATCCAAACCATGTAAGTCCAGTGGGTTTCACTAGGGATGCGCAGAATATTCGGCAACCAAAATTATTCAGCCAAAAATGGCCAAAACAAAAACACTTTCGGCCAAATAAGTGAAAAGACCAAATTATTTATACCGAACGTTGATGTTTTTAATGGCCCTATTTTTCTAGTTTCTGGACGTAAACGGAACTTTTACTCCTCAGCTCCAGGACTTTAACACGTTATTTTACAAACCCCAATTTTACAACAATGTATTAAAATCGCAACCTGTGAGGAGAGAGGTGCTGTTTGTGAATGCAGCAAACATGTAGGCTGTGTGGAAACATTTTAAAGTGTCAGAGACCTTTGTTAGTATGTTTCATTTTGTTTGGTTTCTGTTTCGGGCAAAACGTTTAATTCCGGTGCTTCCCTAGTTTGTACTTGTTGATCGTGCAGTGTGTGCGAGTTTTAGGTTTAAGATATTTAATTTCAAACGGTGGTGTGAAAAGTATTTGTAAAACATTTGTGTTGGTCCCGGCAGCTTCCCCCATGGTGAAGGTGGATGAGAAATCTCCAAACCCTCAGGTTGTGAAGACTGTGAAGAAAGAAGCTGAGGATCGGCCCCAAGGCTCCAAGAGTCCTCATAATGGGTGAGTACTTCCAGAGCTACAGTAGTGCTCAGCTCCCAGCCTGGCAGGGCACATCTGTGTCAACTCATAAATGACTTGCTAGTTGAAGAGTTGAAGGCAATCTTCTGCAGTGCTTTCGCGGTGTAGACCAGAGGACTTCAGATCCCTTTTCATTCATGTAAATAAATTGATGTAACTGATTAATCCAGTGTCATACCTGCTGGCGATTATATAATCTAGGATTGGAAACTGGGTTTAAAGTCCAGAGTTGAAGACATCTGCTATAAATCATGAGTTTGAGGAGCAGAACAGCTTAGAAATGTTGCGTCTCATTGAGCTGTTTTTGGTGTTTTTCGGAGCTGTGCTTGACTGCTTGTCCTGTCTTCTTCCCCAGGCTGAGGAAGGACAGTAAACTGGGTCGGAATAGCAGAAGTGGGAGCCGTTCTCGTTCAAGAACCCGCTCACGGTCCAGATCGCGCTCTCCTAGACGACAGTAAGTACCTTTTATACTGGTAGGACCCTGAAAGTGAGTTGTTTTATTTAAAATAAATAGAAGGTGGGAGAGTTTCTGTAACTTCAGTTAGACTTTCAATCTGTAATTCTATCCAGTAAAAGTCTGCTGTGTTTGTAGTTGTAGGTAAAGTAACAAATAACAAACTGTAAAACCTTCATAATTACTTAAGGTTTAATTACTTGCTTGTTAATTCTCTTCTTGTTACTTTTCTTGAGTGACTTGCTGTCCCTTTGCTGCTGTAACACTAAGAATTTCTCCATTGTGGGACTCATAAAGGATTGCCCTGTTATATGCTGAACCCAGAGCTCACTCAGTTAATTCAAGTTGTCAGTTGACCTGCAGTTAACTGAACTAATTTAAGTTGTTAGATGAAAGTTTTGGTTGATTGTCCTTAAACTGTGTCAGCATGTTCTCTGGTAGGACCAAATGTTTGGGCCCCAGTTGAGTTTGTGATGTATGTGCAGTGAAGACTGTTTAAAATGGTTGTTTGGCAGATTGTTGACACCTTTTCTCTTTTCCTCTTAGTTACAACAACCGGCGCAGTCGCTCTGGCTCCTACAGCTCCCGCTCCCGCAGCCACTCGCACAGCCGCAGCCCTTCGCCAAGGCGCCATGCCAACCATGGCCCCCCTTCCCCTCTCCTGCCGCACCTGAAGTCCAAGCAGCGCACGGACGAGCTGAAGCTCCACAGTCGCCACAGCCACAAAAGGAAGCGCTCGCGCTCAGGCAGCAAACCGCGGGGGGAGCGCGAGAGGGAGCGCGACAGAGACAGGGAGAGGGAGCGCGCGTCGTCCGATCTGAGCTCCAAAAAACACCGGCACGAGAGAGGCGGCGGCAGCGGGGGGCACCACAGAGACCGCCGGGAACGCTCGCGCTCATACGAACGCTCGCACAAGAGCAAACACCACAGTAGCAGCCACTCGAGCCACAGCCGCCATCGACGCTGAGAGACTGCATCCCCGTGTCCTGTGTGAATGAGTTTGTCCAGCTGTATGCGTTGAAGCGGTCAGAGTTGAGAGGCCAATTCTGATCACAATCTCCCTCGTTTTACATTTTATTCATTGGCAAATCTTTTAGTTCAAATGTAAAGTGAAGGACTTGAAATACATATTTACAGTGTAAAGAGAGTTTAAATGCTGACGTATTACAAAGAATGCTTTGATTTATAAAAGCATCATTTTGTTGAAGTGTGTGGGGGAGGGTGCGGGGAATCACTAACTTAAGCAAATGATTTCAGGAAAGACATCAAGACTTTGCACGGGTATAGTTATATTTACAGAAAACGTTTGCTCTACAGATGAAAGGAAACGATTTCCATAGGGATAGACCATATTTTTTTACAGCAGGATGCAGACTTTTGTTTTTCTTCGATCGTGGTGACTTTGTTACACTGGTTTTAGTCTGCACGTGTTCACGTCGGATTTTTACTCAATAAAAAAATGACTTATTCCTATTGCAAAATGCATTACTGTCTTGGCCTGAGTGTCTCTGCTAGCTGAGGGTTAAAGGAGCGGTCTTTCGGTTTCAGTACAGGTTTCGGGTGTGGTTTTTCAGTAGGCCGTTCTAAATTTGACTTTCATTTCGGAGGATCTCTGTCTCAGTGATCACCTGGCAGTCAAGTTTTTATTAATGTATTAGCAGAGAAAATCAAATTACATCACTATTAAAACACACAGGTTTCTGTTGGAGCTGTTAAAACCCATTTGAAGCCCATTTGATGTCACAGATGGGTGAAATTGATTATCAACCAGAAGTATTGGTTGGAATGTTGGAAGCCTCGGCTCTGGATAAAGTCAGTTGAGACCTGATGGGTTCAACAAATTTCAACTACTGCTTAAAACCTTCCAATGGTGAGCCCACTCTTTGGATGTGTACACACACACACACACA